AATAGTAATAAAAGTATTAATGAAAAAAAAAATTGGCAAAGATTTTGCTATTACTTGCTGCATTTTTTAATTAATTTGTAACGACAGAATTTTCAAAAAAAGTTTCCAGCTACTTATTTGTTCTGCATTACAGTACTTAATATGAAATGAATTACAGAATATAAATTTGGTCCTTATAAAGAACCGCTCGCTCACAAGGAAATGTAAAAAATTAACTGAAAATATCCTCTAAAATTATTCGTTTTAAACAGATATATATCAAAAAGTATTTTTTTTTAATATTATTTAATTTTACCTTCAGGGGCTTAGGTCTTTACCAGTAATTTATTTTTTAATTAAAAAACAATAGCAAAATAAGTGATTTTTTGTATTTAATGGAAGATTATCAGGACAGTATCAGTAATCTATCAAATTGGAGATAAAATTTATGAAAATTTCTGAAATCATTCATCACTACACACAATCAAATATTACAACGTAACTCTTTAATGAAAGTTTTAAATGTCAACTTTTGCACAGTAATTTTCAAATGTGTTATTTGTAGAGAAAATGAATGAAAAAAAGTATTGAGTGAATGCATTATGATAAAAACTACCAAATGAATTTATATGTTAATTTTATCAGACTTATTAGCTGCACAATTTATATTACAGTAATAAACGATATTTAATTTGAGTGTTACAGTCTTTATTTCTACCAAATGAATTCATATATTAATTTTATTAGACTTATTAACTGCACAATTATTGACAAAAAATTAGCGTTTGACGCAAAATTATAGTATTACAGTTTAATTTGCTGGCGTAATAAATATTTAATTTAAAAACTGATTAGTTTAGAAGCAATTATTATAGCATTCTAATTTGTCTTATCACAAGTCAAAAGGCGTCGTTTCAGGATAGGTTGAAAAGTGTCTTGTAGAATCATTAAATCAATCCGATGCTTGCTATAAAGTGATCAGATGCTCTTTACAACTTCAATGCTCGCAGAATTCATTTTGTTTGATACCATTAAGGTCAGCAATATTTTATTAATCTTCGTTATTTTCCTTCGGTAATTAGCAACAAATTGAAATGGATAAGTAATAAATATATATCACTGAGAAGTGGTAGCGTGTCATTATAAAATGGAAGTTAAGAGATCTCATTATTGAGATCAGTAAGACTTAGATGGCTAGTTTGAAGCAGTTACTGTTAGTTAAAGCTTAAAGTAATCAGCTAGTAGTATGATAATTAAGCAAGCCAAACATTACTAATTAAATTTCTTTACTAATTAATTAACTACATCCAAATTGAGTAGCTATGACGGGTAAGTTTGCTGCGAGTAATGTTACTTAAAATGTGGTGTTAAAGAAATGTTAAATTTAAAAATTGTGTTTATTATTGAATAATAATATTGATAACTTGATCAAATTCCAAAATGATTAAGGAAAAAAATTCAAATAATTCTGAAAAAAGATTGTTTATTCTTGTATTATTTAAAAAGTTGTTAATGATGAGTACATAATTACAATCTCAAAATTGTTACAGTTTGAAATTATTATAAAAAAATAATCGAATGCATTTTTAGTTGCAAAACACTTTCATCTTCCACAAGTCTCAGTGACCACGTTCACTTTCAATACGTGATCGTCCTTCATACTTCTCTACCATGGATGAAACTGATTCCATTAATGTGTACTCGGAAATCATATTCTTTGCAGGCAACAATATCTTCTGAGATGATTTCTGCTTGCTCAAAGGTTGCTGTAAAATTCCACTAAGACAGCGCGGGCAGTAACTTTTTGCATCTGCGCCACGCTTTGCTGTCATTATTGTTAACTTATCACTAATGTTTGATTCTGTTCTTTCTGGCATTTCATCGTTGATAATAGCTAAGTCTATCAGGCTGTTCGATTCTGACATCGTTTTTATATTTGTATTATTCTGATTTTCATGTGATTGTAACGACGTTTGCGTGTTTGTAATTTGAGAAGTTTTTGTACTCAAATCCATCAGTGCTGTTTGTTCATTTATACTGCCATTGTTTTCTACAAATAAAGCAATACAATGTTCTATTGTCGTTACTTTTGTATTACTAATTCAATCAGTGTGAAATTCATAAATACAAAACTAAAATATTTACTCAAGTATTGGCATTATTTAATTTTTCTCATACAGAAAGTACTATAATTACAAACTGCTTTTAATTGTTTTAAATAAACTCTAAATATATTTCCTTAAAATGCCACATATTGCCATACTTTCTATATACTTACGTAAAGTATTATTAAAAATTTTTGAATAACTAACCTTTGATAAGACTAATTGGTTTTTCTTCTTCACTCATTATTTGAGGATTATCAGAAGCATTGTTCTTTCCCTAAATAATATTATTTTCTTTCATTTACAATATGTGCAGGCTGATTCAAACACCTTATTGTTATTAATACTATTATTGTTTATAATGATAATAATTGTTGTTATTATCATCACATAATCGGGCTTCATTTTACTGATTAGTACTTTCCATATTTGTAGACCTATACTGATTAAATGTCAAGGGTCAGAGAGTAAGCTAATCACATCACAAAGGTTGCATATCTGCAAGCCAATGCCTGTCCCACTGTATTCATTACCAGTTATTTACAAGCAACTTTGGTCTTGTTTTATTTTGCTTTAATTATTATTTCATTATGCGTCGCACTACACGGATATTTATAGTAGTATTTTTTTGCTAAACTGTCCACTCTTCTCATCAATATCACGTGATATCTTACGTAACCCTCAACTACCATGTTTATTGCTATTAATGATAACAATAACTGACTTTACAATAGCGTCAACGACATGGTAATAACTGTACACAACAGTACTGATCAGTTACTGTAATAGTAAAAATGAAAAGTATAAGAAAATATTAACAACTGTCAAGTAATGATCGTATTGTTGAGGTGGTTGTTTCCACTGCCTGTGTATGCCTTCCGAATACTCAAATAGTGGCGCAGTCTCAAAATTTCCAGCGACATGATAAACATCGCGACGTATAAATGGCTTTTTGCGTTGTTTCAGTACTTCAAATAATTTGTCGCAATTATGTGATAAATTTCAATATTTTCAACTTTAGTTCTATAAAAGCATTGAAATTTGCACAAATTATTTTGAACCTTTTCTTCTTTTATCATTTTGTCTCCTGCCACAACTGATGATACTCGTGATTGTGATGATCAAAATAATAGCAACAGCTAATGTGCTGGCTAAGAATCTGTTGTTGGAAACATCCATCAAGAAAATAGTCGCCTTATTAAATATACAAAAATTGTAAGGTTTTCATCATTTTAATTAATTATCACCTTTTGAGTTCAAGTATAAAATATCGCTGCACAGTATAGATAAACTTTATAATGGAAATGTAGTACATCTTGAAAAAATGTTATACCATAATATGAAACAGTATTAAAATTGTAATCTGATTAATCATTTTTTCCTCTAGTAATACTATACTATGCTATACTATGATTGAAATATTGTCTTATAATTGATAATATATTTTGGAAAACTCATTTTTAATACGAAAGTTGCGGTGATAATAGTGATTAACCGTAACTGCACGCCTGCTTGCAACAAAATAAACAACTGAAAGTGATTGTAAATTTTGAAAGTTTCTTTTTTGCATTTTTTCTTTACTCAAAAATTTGCATAATTTAAGGAAATTGATGCATTTTTCAGCCTTTTCATCAAATGATTTAAAGCAAATGTTTGTCCCTCTCAGCCACTCATTTAAAAAGGAACTGAGAGAGACTTCTTGAAGTTCTGAAGTCACAACTTGCATCAGTTTCTGCTAAGTTCGTCATTTATTTTTTTCTATTTGCAGTGATTAGCTTTTTGTGTGAGTAAAAAACAAACTTAGTTGATAAAAGAAAAGCAATTATTTTTAATTTCTAAAACAAATTTTAATCTAATTAAGAATCATTTTGTATTTAATGAGCAAATCATTTGTATAAAAGACTGATATTCATGTGATGAAAGAGTGTATTTATGTGCAAAAAAAGTATTGCTTAAGTTAATAATTATGAATTCAAATTTGTTTTAATGCAGTAATATTATAAAAAAGTCGTTTTCACACATTAAATAAAAATTATTAACTTATGCAGTACTTTTTTTTGATTATTTGTTGCTAATAATTAAACATTTTTGTGAAATAAAAAAAATTTAGATTGAAAAAGGGTAAAGTTCACACGAAAAGTACAATAATAATAATAATAACAATAATAGAAGGTATAAAAATGATCGATGGAACATCAGGCAGTAGCAATAATAATAATAATGATAATAATTTGGACAAGGATGGAAGTATTTGTGATAATGAAGGAAGCAGTGAATTAATCCAGTGTAAACCTGACAAAATTTTTCCACTTGATAATGAGAAAGAAGAAGATTTACATTATCCAATAACAACTTATCACTACTCGGTGAGTAATAATGCTCGATATGTATATGTTATCGGTGAAGAATCTAATGAAACAAACTCGCAACTATTTGTTTGGGATTTACACCGCGGAACATCACGACGTTATACGTTAATAAATTTACCGCTTGCAGCGCAATTAAAGCATTTATACGAGATTAATTCTCAAGATGGAATGCTTCTAAGTCGTAATTTGCAGTGCTTTTTTGTGCATCTAATTCAATTTAATCATTCAAAGCAGTTAATTGAAGTTCATGATGTACTGTATCGTCAACATATCAATCATTCACATTTTTGGAGTTCTGCAAGAATTTCATCTGGTCAAGGAATAATATTCATGTCACAGCACAATATTTCTCGAAATTTTTTCATTGCTAAAGTCATTCCAAATGCACCAGTACAATCAGTTTTTCTTACTGCGCAAATGGCTGGATTACATTTTTGTGGTCAGCCTTGGGTACATGGAGATTTTATGTATTTATTCGAGAGTACATCTTCAATTAATTTTGCTGAAATAAAATATCTTACTGGTCGACTTGTACGAGCTAATTTAACAACGGGTGAACTGGAAATGATTCATACGAAAGCTACTGGTTTTATTAAAGATAGCTTGCCATCAATGAAGGAAGATATTAATTTACTATTAGAAGATGAAAATGCTAATATCCCATTTTCTTTGCGAGAAATGGAACACACTACGATTATTAGACGTGTTAAACACGTTGAACGTAGTGGATGGCTTTGGATTATTGCTGAATTTATGGATTCTTTTAGCACATATAATAGTATTAATAGTCATTGTGAGGTATTATATATTTTAATTATTTTTTTTTACATTTATTTATTTATTTTGATAAAAATGTGTAACTTAAT